AAGAAAGAAAGAAAGAAAGAAAGAAAGAAAGAAAGAAAGAAAGAAAGGTCAATGGGGAAGCCAGCAGGAAATCGGAAGTCATTCCCGCTCCTATTGTTTTTGCTTGTTTGCTTTGTTTTGTTTAGTAAAAAAAAAACACTTGCAAAAAAACCCACCATTGACTTTGTTTCTCTCTTTAGGTAAGAAAATATCTCTGAAAAATTGACCCAGTTGATCCCAGGCTGTCCACTATATATTAACAGCGCATATATTTGCAGGATGCTATAGAAAAGGGACCTGTGTGCTCTCTGAATAGTTGGTTTTCTTGCAGACAGTTCAGTACCCAAATAGCTAACGTCATCAGTGCTAGTAAGGAGTGGGATTTGCTCTCAGTTTATATTCTAGTGGCTTGTCCTGTGAGTATTGGTGAAGCTGGTTGTAGGAGTTCTTAGTTCGGGTAATGAAATGTCTGCAAGGAAACATCTCAGCTCAGGTAGCACCGAGGACCCGTTATTTCAACCTTGAGCCACAAATATTCTTCATTAAAGGGGAACTGTCCGAACGTAAGAAGGTGAAAACGAGAAACTGGGAGAAACTAAAACTGCCTGATTTGTTAATCCCCTGTGACCGGTTGCACGAAAGCGAAAGACGGAGAAACAAAGTCATATCAAATGTCTGAGGAGGAAACGGAAAAGTCTCTGCACTCCCCACTCAACCTGGTCCTTATTCTCAGAATTTGTTCCTTCCTTTTGTCTTCCCAGGGTGCGCTTTTGTGAAATACTCCTCACATGCAGAAGCCCAGGCGGCCATAAACGCTTTACACGGAAGCCAGACAATGCCGGTGAGTATTTCATTATGGCTTGGTCATTTTGCAGGGGTGGTGAACTTGTAGCTAATTTTATCACTTTTTAAAAAATAAATTTATTTATTCAACATTTGAACATTGAAAAACCAATTTCCACAATTTACAACATTACTATAGCGATGTTTACGTGATAAATATCTTCTGTTAACGTGTTATACATCTCTGTTTCTTTGTCATTCTAGGCATTTTATACCTATATACATTTTTATTTACATTTATTTACGCGAAAACCTTGTGGTTTTATGGTTTTATGGTATTACGTAAGTCATTTGATGCCTTTGTGTCTTATTCTTAACCATTCGTACTGAACACCCCACATTTTATAAAATTCTCCTTCTTCTTTATCCTTCAATAGCTTCGTTAGTCTATCCGTCTCTGCGCATTCATATATCTTATTAATAATTGTGGCTACTAGGGAGGTTGTAGCCTGCTTCCAATTTTGGGCGCAAGAGATTCTGGCCGCCGTTATGATATGGAGCATCAAATATTGGTATTTTCTATTGAAATTAGGTTCTAATTTTATCATTTTTAATGACCGGTTCAGCAAACCGGAATATTTGACCCCTGGCTGGCCCTACCCCTCCCACGCTTTCCCTCCCAGGAGTCCCCACACGGTCAGTTTTGGATGCCAGGTCCCACATGGAGGCTTGGGGAGGGCAAAAATTCCCCCCTCCACTGTGGTGCAGAAGCCAACTAGGCCACACCCACCATGGCCACATCCCCAGCAACTGGGCAGAGAACCAATTGCTTAAAATTTTTGAAGCCTGCCCCGGGTCATTCGGGCAGAGACAATAGGGATTGACGTGTCAGGCACCAAGAAGCAAGAACAATCCGTGGAGTTACTTCTGAGTAGTTTCTTGATTGCTGTTTGCCGACAGACAGAATCTTGCCAGACTAAATCAACCATCTGCACAACTACAGGCATTCCTCGACTTACGAGCACAGCAGAGCCCCAGATTTCTGTTGTGAGACATTTGTTAAGTGGGTTTTATCCCCCATGAGACCTTTCTGGCCTCACTTGTTAAATGAATCACCGCAGTTGTTAAGTTAGTAACCCGGTTGTTAAGTGAATCTGACTTCCCAATGGACTTTGCTTGTTGGAAGGTCACAAAAGAGGATCATGTAACCCCGGGACACAGCAGTAGTCGTAAATATGAGCCAGTTGCCAAGTGTCTGAATTTTGATCATGTGATTGTAGGGAGGCTGCAAACGTCATTGGTGTGAAAAATGGTCATAAATCACTTCTGCCAGTGCCATTGTAACTTTGAATGGTCACTAAATGAACTGTTGTAAGTTGAGAACTACCTGTATAGTTATACTTTGCCAGCTGCTAGGGAGGTGCTACCTTAATCTTGTTCCTACCTGTTAAACTTTCCAAGCTGTGCTCCTCTTCGCCCTCTGGGAAGCAGCCCCTCCCATTTGGGAATCCAGAATACATTCCACCGCAATGCCAAACAGATATTTACAGAATCAATCCATTGTAATGAAATGCAGGGGAAGAGAGGCCACCTAGGACAACAATCAAAGTAAAGTCCCCAAAGTGTTTTTTTTTTCCAAAAAGCAACTGGACTTTCCTGGATTTTTTTTTTCTCCTTTGAAAATGTTTCGCTTCTCATCCAAGAAGCTTCTTCAGTTCTAACTTGTGGGGAATAGAAGAATGCAAAACCAATGAGATACATGCAGATCTGTTACACTGGGGAAATCTCTATTTCCATCCCGCTCCAGGGGAAAGATATTGTAAAATCTCCATTCCCTCCCTACTCCTGGGGGAAGGTTATTGCAAAATCCCCATTCCCTCTCCACCCCACTAACCTGCTTTCCAGCTCCGTTCTCCTGTGCAGGGCAACCAAAGAAGACCCAGCCGATCAGCTGGGACTCAATGGGAGACAGAGAATAGATGGGAGTGGGGCCAGTCAGAGGTAGCATTTGCCGGTTCTCCCAACTCCTCAAAATTTCCGCTACCGGTACTCCAGAACTAGTCAGATCCTGCTGAAGACCACCTCTGAACCCTGACCCGGAGGACTGAGAATCTCCATAGACAATTAAAGAAAAGAGGAAGGAGCCCTGAGGGGTTTAATGGTCTGAAGAAGAAACTTAAGGAAAGACTTACTAACGCATCAATCATTTCTCTCAGCCGGTCTTTGAAAACTTGCAGATTGGCACACAAACCACAAACCACCATGCAGAGCAGAAAGCAGGTTTCAAGGGCTTCTGTACCTTCAGACCTGCAAGACGGACTTAATGCAGCCCCATAATAAAGCAGATATAGCTCACTTAGTAGTGTTTCCGGCCTTTACCCAGGAAAGTTGACACCCACAGACGAAACATACAGCACATCAAAGTGCCTTTTCTGAAAACTCCAGCCTACAGAAGGATGGATGAACACTGGTCCTTGCCAGTGGTAGGGTTCCAAGTAGTTTACCACCAATTTAGTGGGCGTGGCTTGGTGGGCACACTTTGCATGCGCACGCACACACTTTGCGTGTGGGTGGGCCCAACAGCAGATCTGTTGGAGAGAACCACTTCTCTCCCAGATGATCTTTGGAGCTACCGGTTCGACCAAACCACACCGAACCGGTAGAATCCCAACCATGGTCCGTGCAGATCTTCATCTTCGGTGTATTTCTTTGAATACCGGCAATTGTCTTCTTCTGGTTACATACGCGAGATCTTTCTGTCTCTCATGGTAGGCCTTAATTTCTGGTCCTCTGGCTACTCTTTGTTAACCTTTTCTATTCTATTAACCTATAATCCATTTGTCAATCTATTCTCCAAAGCACCTGAAGGCAGACAAGAAGCAACGGGTAGAAGCTAAACAAGGAGAGACCCAACATAGAATTAAGAAGAAATTTCCTGACAAAATAATTAATCAGTGGAACAATTTTCCTCCAGAAGTTGTGGGTGCTTCAACACTGGAGTTTTTAAAGAAGAGATTGGACAACCACTTGTCTGGAATGGTACAGGGGGTTGGACTAGAAGACCTCCAAGGTGCCTTCCAACCTTATTATTCTATGTTCTGTAAATTCTAATACCTAGTCCAAAGGTCTTCAAACTTGGCAAGTTTAAGACTTGTAGACTTCAACTCCCAGAATTCCTGAACTAACATGATTGGAAGAGGAATTCTGGGAGTTGAAGTCCACAAGTCTTCAAGCTGTCAAGTTTGAAGACCCCTGACCTAGTCTTTTTTTTAAAGGCCACCAAGATGTCCCTCCGACCTACAAATTACGTGAAACACTGAATTATGAGATTGTTTTAGTCCTGTCCAGTTACACGGATGTTCATTCTACCGGGGTGAGCATGATCTCTTGATCTTCTCACTTCCTGATCCACTTTTGTCCTTCTGTTATGCCAGGGATTAAGTTGTCCCCTTCGCTGGATCAATTCACAATTCTTCTGCCAAGGTTTTATCCTGCATCCATCAAAATTCTGGTCAGGACAGAAGCAGCCATTTGCTTCTGTAACAAGCCTCCTGTCCCTCCCTCTCTCCAGCTATCAGAATTATGGTTCCTCTGTGGTTTCAATTCACACAACATATGGCACCTAAGAGTTTCCAAAAAGGCCATTTTATCTAATTAAAATGCCTTCTCCTCTTCATGAACATCAGAATATGTCACATAAACAGTGGCCCTCTTTGCAGGAATGCAAGATGGATCACACCCTTGAGATGCTTAACCTAGTTGGGTAGAAACCTAGTCAGTGCCTAAGTGAGGGCAGTGTAAAAACCGTCATTATTTGAACAATAGTTCAAATTTAGGCAGCCTTCTTACCTTTAAATCCTCTCCCTTAACCAAAGGAGGAGAGGCGGAGAAGATTTGGGCGCTTTAAATAGAATATTTTCTCTCGCTTTAGATTAGAATAAAATATAGGTATTTTTTTAAGCTTCTGAAAAGTCTGGAAGAAGATCAGGGAGATCAAAACTCATGTATCATGGGATCCAGAGTAAGCCTAGGGGTACTTTTCCACTTTCTCTCATTTCCACACCTGTCTGTGACAAAAGTCCTTCTGGAGACAACCAGCATTAAGATAGCACCGAAGGGAGCATCGTACAGATTACAGAAGAATTTCCCAGCCAGCCTCTATCCAGGAAGGAGGAGACGAGGTGTCTGCTTAAACTTTCCCAAATCTAACATTATGTTAAATGCTTCAAAGAACCCACGTTTCATAAACAAACTATTTAGAGAAAAGTTTTTCCTTCCTTCCTTCCTTCCTTCCTTCCTTCCTTCCTCCCTCCCTCCCTCCCTCCCTCCCTTATTCTTTTCTATTCCTTCTTTCCTTTGCTTTCCTTCCTTATTTCTCTCCTTCCTTTTCCTTCCTTCCTTCCTTCCTTCCTTCCTTCCTTCCTTCCTCTGCTTCTTCTTTCATAACCTTTCTCTTCCCCCTTCTCTCCCTCTTTCTTTTCATCCTTTTCTGCTTTGCTTTTCCCTTTCCTTTTCTCCTTCTCCCTCCCCTCCCTTCCTTCCTCCCTTCTTTCCTCCTTCCCTCCTTCCTTCCTGCTTTCTCTTTCACAACTTTTCCCTTTTCTTTCCCTTCCCTTTTCTCCTTCTCTCTCCCCTCCCTCCCTCCTTTCCTCTTCCTTCCTTCCTTCCTCCATTCTTTCCTCCCTCCCTCCCTCCCATCCTTCCTTTTCCTTCCTTCCTTCCTCCTTCTGTCCATTTCTCTCCTCCCCTCCCTCTTCCTTCCTTCCTTCCTTCTTCTCCCCCTTCTTTCCTCCCTCCCTTCCCTCCTTCCTATTTTTTTCCCCCCTCTCAGCAGCTCTTCCTTGCATTCCCGTTGGCCAAAAGACGAATTATCCTGTATCATCCAAGACATTTTCAACTCCTGTTCTCTGTGAGTGGGGACGTGCGTGCGTATTTGCGTGCCTTTGCTAATCCACAGCACAACTTCCTCTCCTCTTCCTCTCCCCTCTCCTTATTGTTCCATAAATGAACTAATAAATTAGATGTTCCCGGGGCTCAGAATAGAAAACTCGGCAGGCCAGGC